ATATATAGACATAGATACATGCACATAGAAAGAGAGACAGAGACAGAGAGAAAGAGATAAACTAAGAGAAAGAGACAGACAAAGAGACAGACAAAGAGAGACAAACAAAACGAGAAAATAAACATAATGAAGGCGTACCTGAGTATGAATAACATCTACATAATGCAGCTTCTGCTTCGGATTGCTGTGGCTTGTTCCAGGCTGCTGCAGCAGCAGCTGCTGCTGCTGCTGATCTGCTGCTGCTGCTGCTGCTGCTCTCTTTGCAAGGACCTGTGTCTCAGCCTTCAGCTGTCTAGACAGCACGCGGTAGCAATCTAAGTCTCGCTGCAGCTGCTCTTGCTGCTGCTGCTGCAGCTGCTGCGCTGCACTCATCTCCGCTAGCTGCTGCTTCAGCCCCGCTGCAGCACGCGCCTCCCTCAGTGCAGCAGCAGCAGCAGCCTGCAGCAGCAAACAATCCACGACCTAACTATATAATATATAGACGTATAAACAAACAAGTAAATAAATAAATATAAATAAATAAATAAATATAAATAAATAAATAAATAAATAAATATATTCAAATAACAAACCCTAAAAGTGAAAAGTGCGGCTATCTTTAATCTGCATGCACAACTCCATCTACTCTGCTGCTGCTACTGCTGCTGCTGCTGTTGCTGTTGGTGCTGCTGCTACTCTTGCTGCTGTTGTTCTTGCTGCTCCTCCTGCTGCTGCTACTGCTACTAGTCCTGCTGCTTCTGTTGTTGCTACTGATACTGCTCATCCTGCTTTTGCTGCTGCTGCTTGTGCTGCTGTTTTTGCCTCTGCTGCTGCTGCTACTGCTGCTGCTTCTGCTGCTGCACCTCTGCTTTTTCTTTCTGCAGCAGCAGCACTCGATTCTCGGAGTTGAGCTTGTGAATGCGCTCTCCTTGTCTCTTCATTTCCTGCTGCAGCTGCTGCGCTGCTGTTCTGTGCTGCAGCGCTTGCTCTGCTAGCTGCTGCAGCTGGTGCTGCAGCTGCTGCTGCATTGCTCGGCCCCCTATAGACGTCTCCAGCACAGCAGCATGCTGCTCCCGCTGCTGCTGCAGTTGCTGCTGCAGCAGCTCGATCCGCTGCTCTGCTGCTTTCAGCTGCTGCTGCAACTGCTGCTGCTGCTCCAGCGGCAGCAACTCAACAAGATCTGCTGCATTATCCCGCGATGTTTGCTGCAGCAGCTGTCTCCGCAGGTTTTGTGATTGCTGCTGCTCCTGCTCCAGCTGCTGCTGCAGCAATTCCTGCTGCTGCTGCGCCTGCTGCAGCTGCACTGTTAACTCCCCAGCAGCAAGCAGCTGCTGCTCTGTCTCGTGAGCCTGCTGCTTCAGCTGCTGCAGCGTGTCTTGTAACTCTATGCCTCTTTGCTGCAGCTGCTGCTGCAGCAACCGGATCTTGCTGCTGGCTGCTAGCTGCTGCAGCTGCAGCTCCTGTGTCTCTTGCCGCAGCTGCTGCAGCTCGACAGCAGCAGCGTCTCCTTTGCTGCTCTGCAGCAGCTGCTGTTGCTGCTGCTGCAGCTGCTGTTGCAGCAAGACAACTTTCTCCTGCTCCGACTCCAGCTGCTGCTGCAGCACCTCATGCTGCCTCCTAAGTGCTGCATTTTCTTGTAAGGAGCGGCTGTGCTGCTGCTGCATGTCTTTGTGCTGCTGCAGTTGCTGCTGGTGTTGCCGTTCTTGCTGCTGTTGCTGCTGCTGCAGCTGCTGCAGTTGCTGCTGCACCTGCTGCAGTTGGGTCCGAACTGCGGCTGCTTCTTCTGCATCCCCCACGAGGGTCTTCTCTGCTGCATGCAGTTGCTGCTGCAGCGTATCTTGCTGCTGCTGCAGCTGTTTCTGCTGCAGTTGCTCCTGTTGCTGCTGCAGCTGTCTCTCTTGACGGTTTAGCAGCTGCTGCTGCTGCTTCAGCTGCTGCTGAGCTTCCCGCAGGTCGTAAAGAGCTTTTTCATGTTGCTGCTGCAGCTGCTGCAGCGCGTTCGCTGTTTTCTGCTGCTGCTGCACTTTCGTTTGCAGCGCATGCATTTCTTGCTGCTGCGCTGCAGCACGCCTCTGCAGCTGCTCTGTTTCTGCTAGCTGTCCAGCTAGCTGCGTCTCCAGGTCTGCTGCTGCTTGCTGCAGCAGCGTCCGCTCACGGGTTGTCTCCTGCAGCTGCTGCATGCGGTTTGCGGCTTCCTGCTGCAGCTGCTGCAGCTGCTGCTTCAACTGCTGCTGCTGCCGCTCCGCTTGCTGCAGTGCAGCAGCAGCTTCTTTCTCGCTGCTGCTAGCTGCCCCCTGTAGCACAGCAAGCTTCTGCTGCTGCTGCTGCCGCATACTCTTTTCTTGCTGCAGCTGCTGCCGCAGGTGCTGCGCCTGAGACACCAGCCGCTGCTGCTCCTGCTCCCAGCTACGTTGCTGCTGCTGCTGCTGCTGCAGCTGCTGCTGCTCCTTCTCCTCAGACTTTTGCAGCGTCCGCTGCAAAGCAGCAATCTGCTGCTGCTGCTGCTGCATCACTCTACGTTCTTCCACCTGTGTCTGTCTAGCTTGCTGCGCTGCTGCCCTGGCAGCAGCAAGCTGCTGCTGCAGCTGCAGCACCTGCTCTTGTTGCTGTTCTAAAAGGGCCTCTTGATCTCGCTGCTGCTGCTGCTGCAGGCTCTGGAATAGCTGCCCCTCATCAGCAGCAGCGTCAAGCTGCTGCTGCAGTTGCTGCTGCTGCTGCTGCGCTTCTTTGAGAGACTGCTGCTCCTGCTGCAGCAGCCGCTCTGTTTCTCGCAGCTGCTGCAGCAACTTGTCGTTGTCCTGCTGCTGCTTCTGCTGTTGCTGCTGAGATTCTTTCTGCCTCGTCTCTGCCTGGAGCAGCAGCAGCTCGAGCTCCTTTGAACGCTGCTGCTGCTGCAGCAGCTGGCTATACACCCCATCCGCTTCTGCTTCAAGCCGCTGCTGCTCCTCTGTGAGGCGCAGCACATTCTGCTGCTCTGTCTCTGTGGCTTGCTGTTGCAGTTGAAGCATGCGCTCGTGCTGCTGCTGCTGCTGCTGCAGCTGTTGCTGCGCCTCAGCAGCAGCAGCGCGCGCCTGCTGCAGCTCTTTTGCTGCTGCTTGCAGCTCCTCTGTCAAAGCAGCACAACGAGAAGCTATTTGGCTTTCTGTCTCTCTCTCCCTAACATCAGCAGTTTGCAGCTGCTGCTGCAGCTGCTGCAGCAGCCGCTGCTGCTGCAGCTCGCGTCGCTGGGTTGCATGCAGAGCCTCAGTAGCAGCAGCAAGCTCCGCGCGGGTCCTTGTGTGCTGCTGCTCTACCATTCGCAGCTTCTGCAGCTCCTGCTGCTGCTGCTGCTGCTGCTGCAGCTGCCGCTGTAGCTCCTGCTGCTGCTGTTGCTCTCTATAAGCGCTTTGCTGCTGCGCTGCCTCCAGCTTCTCACCAAGCTGCTTCACCTCGCCTTCTGCTGCTACGACATCCTGATGTCGCTGCAGCAGTTCAGCTTGCAGCTGTTCAAGTTGCTGCTGCTGCTGCTGTTGCTGCTGCTGCAGCTGCTGCTCCCTCTGCGCTGCTTCCTGCAGCAGCTGCCGCAGCGACGCCGCTTCTGCTGCCACGGAGCCTTCCTTTTGCTGCGCTGCTCGCAGCAGCCGCTGCTGCTGCTCCAGCTCCCGCTGCAGTCGTGCTGCTGCTCGCTGCTGCTGCTGCAGCTCCTCATCAACCCCTGCCCTTGTCATGCGCAGCAGCTGCCGCTGCTCCTGCTGCTGTTGCTGGAGCTGCTGCAGCGTTTCGCGGTGCTGCTGCTCCGCTTCAGTTTTACGCTGCAGCTGCTGCTGCAGCTCGAAGCACCTTTGCTGCTGTTCGAGCGTTGCTTCTCGCTGCTGCTGCAGCAGGTCCGCCTGCTGCTGCAGTTGCTGCTGCAGCACGCTGCTGCTGCTGCTCCTGTGCCTCTCAGCTGACTCCAGCTCTGCCTGAAGCACTTGAGATCGTTCACTGGCGGCTCTTGCTTCTTCTTGAGCTTGCTGCAGCTGCTGCTGCTGCAGCACCAGCTCCTGCTGCTGCTGCTGCAACTCCTGCTGCAGTGTCCTGCAGCGCTCCATAAGGCGCTCGCTCTCTGCTTCTGCTGCTTCTTTTGCTGCCTCGTTCTGTCGTGCAAGGAACTCCGCTTGCTGCAGCAGCTGCTGCTGCTGCTCTTCCTGCAGTTGGTGCTGCAGCAGCCGCCCCTGCAGCGCATCATTTTGCTGCTCTGCTGCAGCAAGACTCAGCTGCTGCTCGTCTTGCTGCGCTTCGATCTCGCGCAGCCGCAGCCGCAGCGCTTCTGTTTCCTCTCTTAGCTGCTGCAGCAGCTGCTGCTGCAGCAGCTGCTGCTCCTTTCGCTGCGCGTGCCTCGACTGGTGCAGCAGCTGCTGCTGCACTGCTGCATCTTGCTGCTGCTGCAGCTGCTGCCGCAACTCATTACTCTCCTGCCACGCACGCTGCAGCTGCTGCTCTGCTGCTTCCAGCTGCATGCGGTATTCTCTGTAGCGTTGCTGCAGCAGAAGCGCATTTGGCTGCTGTTGTTGTTGCTGCTGCTGCTGTCGCTCCAGCAGCTGCTGCACAGACGCCCGCTGCAGCTCGCTTGCATGCAGCTGCTGCTGCAGCTGCTGCAGCGACTCCCGCAGCACTGCAACTTCCTGCTGCAGTGCCATACGCTGGCTTGCTGCTAGGGGCTCTTCTCTTGCTGTGCTGCTGATTTGCTGCTGCAGTTGCATGCACGTCTGCTGAAGCTGCTGCAGCAGCTGCTGCTGCTGCTTCACCTGACCGAATGCCGCCTCACAAGCAGCAACAAGTCTCTCCTCATTTGCTTCGAGTGTCTCTTGCTGCTGCGCTGAGGCCCGCAGCTGCTGCCGCAGCTGCAGCAACTCCCGCTGCTGCTGCAGCAGAGTCTCCATTTGTTTGCTCTTTGCTTCGTTCGATTGCTGCAGCAGCTCCTGCAGCCTCGCCAGTTGCTGCTGCTGGTGTTGCTGCTGCTGCTGCTGTCGCCGCCTTTGCTGCTGAGACGCTGCAAGCCCTTCCGAAGCCGCGAGCTGCTGCTGCTGCTGCTGCAGCTGTTGTAGCTGCTGCTGCAGCGCTGCCTCCCGCTGCTGCAGTGCAGCAAAAGAATCGTTTGTGCGTTCGACTGCATACTGCGCTGTCTCCAGGGCCTCAGTTAAAGAAGCAATTTGCTGCTGCTGCTGCTGCTGCTGGAGCTGCGCTTCTTGCTGCAGCTGTTGCTGCTTCCTCTGGGCCTCAGCAGCAGCAGCAACCTGCTGCTGCACTGCAGCATTACGAGCAGACTCTGCTGCTTCAACTCGCTGCTGCTGCAGCTGCTGCTCCAGCCGCAACGCATGCAGCTCCTGCTGCAGCAGCTGCATGCGGTGCATGGCATCGTCTGCTGTATCTTTGTACTGCTGAAGCAGCTGCTGTTGTTCCTGCTGCTGCTGCTGCTGCTGTTCCTGCTGCTGCTGAGCAGCAGCAACCTGCTGCTGCTGCAGCGCAGCCTCCTGCTGCAGCACCTGGCAGCGACCATCTAGCAGCTGCAGCTGCTGCTGCAGCGAAAGCCTCTCCGCTTCCCCATTACTTTCTATGTTTCTTAGCAGCAGCTCAAGCTGCTGCCGCTGCTGCTGCTCTTGCTGCAGCAGCAGCTGCGCCTGACGTTCGCGGGCGTTTGCTGCAGCAAGCGCGTCCTGCTGCTCCAGTGCTGCGGCTTGCTGCTGCTGCTGTCGACGGCGCAGTGCATGCAGCTGCTGCCGCAGCCCCGTTGCTTCTGCTGCTTCTGCTGCCTTCAATTGCTGCTCTCTCCCCAGCTGTCTCCTCAGGTTCGCTGCTTCTGCCTGCACCTGCTGCAGCAGCAGCAGCTGCTGCTGCTGCTGCTCCCCCAAGGCGCTTGCGCCGAGAATCTGTTGCTGCTGCTGCTGCCGCAGCAGCGCAACCTCCTCGTCTGCTTGCCACAGCTGCTGCTGCAGCAGCAGCAGCTGCTGCTGCTGCTCTCTGCAGCGCCGCTGCAAAACCGTCTCCACTGCGGAGACAGGAGCTGCTGCAGTGCTGTCGTTCAAGTCTGGCTGGAGCTGCTGCTGCTGTTGCTGCAGTCGCGAGTCTTGCAGTTGTTGCTGCTGCATGCGAGACTCTTCCAGCAGCACGTGCTGCTGCTGCAGCATTTGCTGCTGCTGCTCTATCCTTCCTAGCAGCTCTTTGACGGTGTCAGTGAGGACAGCGAGGTCGCTCTCAACGGCTCCTCGTTGGCTGATAGAGAATGGTTGCTGCTGCTGCTGCTGCTGCTGTTGCTGCTGCTGCTGCTGTTGCTGCTGCTGCAGGAGCAGGTCTCTGGTGTATGTGTCTAGCTCAGCTACCACCTGCTGGAGGTGCTGCATTTCCTGCTGCTGCTGCTCCAGTTGCTGCTGCAGCCGCTGCGCCTTCCTCTGCTCCCTCTGGGCGATAGCCTCCTGCTGCTGCAGCTGCGAGAGGGCCCCATTGAGCTTTGCTGCATCTTCGCGCTGCTGCTGCAGCAGCAGCTGCTGCTGCTGCAGAGCCTCCGTGTTCGTCTGCTGCGCTGCACGCAGCATCATACGCAGCCCATCGACTTCCCCAAGCAGTGTTGCAGCAACTGCTGCTTCCGGCTGTTGCTGCTGCTCCTGTTGCTGCTGCTGCTGTTGGCGCAGCAGCCTCTGCTGCTGATCCTGCAGCTGCTGCTGCTGCTGCTGCTGCTGGAAGGTTGCCAGCATGTCGTACTTGGACTCGGCTGCAGCAAGGCGCGCTGCAGCACGAGCTGCTTCCTGCTGCTGCTGCAGCAGCTGCTGCTGCAGCTTCTCTGCTTCTGCACTGAAATGCGCAGCACGCGCTGTCTCCGCAGCCAGGCGGTCTTGTAGGAGAGCTGTCTCCTCTGCTGCTGCTGCTACTTGCTGCTGCAGCAGCAGCAGCTGCTGCTGCGCCGCAGCATCAGCATCCAGCTGCAGGCGACTGGCATTGAGCTCTTCATTGAGTTGCTGCCGCTCTATCTGCTGTTGCTGCTGCAGCAGCTGATGCTGCTGCCGCTGTTGCTGCAATTGCTGCTGCACTTCAACTAGCTGCTGCCGCTTTGTTGCTAGCTGCTGTTCTGCTGTCTCCGCCCGAGCGCTCCAGTAAGCGATTTCGCGCTGCTGCTGCTGCTGCTGCATTTGCTGCATGCGCATTTGGTGCTGCAGCTCGCTTAGCTGCCGCTGCTGCTGCAGCAGCTGCTGCTGCTGCTGTTCATCATACATCCGCGATTGCTGCAGTACAGCACCATCTGCCACCCCTGCTTCTGCTTCTAGCAGCTCTTTCTCCTGCTGCAGTTTGTCTCTATCTGCAGCAGCAAACTGCAACTGCTGCTGCAGCTGCTGCTGCGTCTCTTCCCAGTCCAGCTGCTGCTGCTGCCACTGTTGCTGCTGCTGCTGCAGACGCCCCTCCAGATCCTCACACTGCTGCTCCCTTTGCTGCAGCTCCAGCTTCACTTGCTGCAGCTGTTGCTGCTGCTGCTTCACCTGCTGCTCTAGGCGGCCGATGTGAGCCTGCAGCTGCTGCTGCTGCTGCTGCTTCGCAGCTTCAAGGGAGTTGCGCTGTCTTGTTATCTTGGCTAGCTGCTGCTCTGCTGCTGCTGCTGCTTGCTGCAGCTCCTGCAACTGCTGCAGCTGCTGCTGCGTTTCGGCTACTCCGGCGAGCTGCTGGCGAGTTTCATCCTGCTGCTGCTGTTGCTGCTGCTGCTGCTCCCGCTGCTGCTGCAGCTGCTGCTGCAGCAGGTCCCTCTCGCCTTGAAGGCCCTGAATAACTCTTTCTTTTTCCCTTGCAGTTTGCTGCGCTATCTCTAGCTGGTCGGTGATTTGCTGCTGCTGCTGCTGCTGCTGCTGCTGCTGCCTCTCGAGCTGCTCCAGCTGCGCCTGCTGCGAGGCGCGCTGCTGCTCCTGCTGCTCCTCTCTTGCTGCTGCAGCTGCTTCTGCTGCTTGCATCTGCTGCTGCAGCGAAGCAATCTGCTGCTCTTGCAGCCGAAGCTGTCTCCTCAACGCCCTGCTGTCCTGCTCAAGCTTGTCTTTCTCTGCCCTCAGTTGCTGCTGCTGCTGCCGCTGCTGGGTAAGCCACTGCTGCTGCTGCTGCTGCAGTAGCTGCCGCTGCTGCGCGGCCTCTTGCAATGCTGGCAGCTGCTGCAGCTGTTCCTCAAGCTGCTTGTTTTGCTGCTGCAGCAAGTTTGCTGCTGCTTCTGCTGCAGATAGCTGGGCACTAAGGCCGTCCTGCGCCTTTGTTGCTTCATCTACTTGCTGCAGCAGCTCTTCCTTTTCTGCTGCTAGCGTGCGCACCTCGGTTTGCTGCTGCTGCTGCTGCTGCCGCAGCTGCTGCAGCTGAGTATACAGCTCGTCTCTCCGCTGCTCTGCATTTGCTGCTGCCTGGCGATGCATTTCAATGGTATCTGCTAGACCTTGCTGCTCCTGCTGCTGCTGCTGCTGCAGCAGTTGCTGCTGCTCCTCAGCAAGCTGCAGCTGCTCCTCCAGCTGCTGCCCTTGCTGCTGCAGCTGCTCTGCCCTCTCTAAAGCCTCATCATATGCTTGCTGCAGCTCCTGCAACTCTTTCCCTTGTGCTGCTGCTGTTGCTGCTGCCTCCTCTACCTGCCTGGCGAGGTCCTCAGCCCGCTGCTGCTGCTGCTGCACCTCCTGCTGCAGCTGCTGCACCTCCTGCCGCAGCAGCTTCTCCTTGGCCTCATACGAAAGCTGCTGCTCCTTATGCCCTTCTTGCAGGCGTTGATATTGCTTCTGCAGCTCTTCAAGCTGCTGCTGCTGCTGCTTCTTCGTCTTCTTCTGCTGCTGGGCCTGCTGCTGAAGCTCCTGCTGCAGCTGCTGCAGCTGCTGCGCATGCCGCTGCTCAGCCTCTGTCTTTTGCTGCTGTAGTTGCTTTGCTGCTGCAGTCTTTTGCTGCTGCAGCTGCCTCTGCAAAGACAAGTTCTCTTCGTATCTTGTGTTAGCTAGCTGGCGCTGTCTGTCTAGCTGCTGTTGCTGCTGCTGCAGCAGCAGCATCTGCTGCTGCTGCTGCCTCTCCGCGCTCTCCTCCCGGTGCTTAGATGCAGCTAGCTCGCTCTCAGCAGCAGCACGGCCTTCCTGCACGTCACTCAGGATCTGCTGCAGCTGCTGCAGCTGCTGCTGCTGCAGCTGCTGCGCCTCTTCCTTCAACGTCAACTGCTGCTTTGCTGCAGCAAGCTCTGCTTCGGCGGCGGCGAGAGCTGCAGCAGCCTGCTGCTTCTGCTGCTGCTGGTCCTGCTGCAGCTCCTGCAGCTGTTGCTGCAGTTGCTGACGCTGCTGCTGCATGTGTTTCATATCTGCTGCTGCGCGTGATTGGGATTGCAGCAGCTGCTGTAGCTCCGCGCTTTGTTCTGCTGATGCTGCAGTCATCTGCTGCAGCCGCTCTTCAAGCAGCAGGCGCTGCTGCTGCGCCTCCTGCTGCTGTTGCTGTTGCTGCTCTGCCTCCGCTGCGCGCTCCTCGTGCTCCTGCTTCAGCTGTTGCTGCTGCTGCTGCAGCTTTTGCTCCTGCTCCTCCAGCTGTTGCTGCTGCTTCTCCAGCTGCTGCTGCTGCTGCTGCAGCTGCTGCCGCGCCTCCGCTTCCGCTGCGTAGATGCGCTGATGCTCGCTGCGGCTTTCGAGCAGCAACTGCTGCTGCTGGTGCTCTCTTTGTGCTGCTTGTTGCTGCTGCTGCTGCAGCTGCTGCAGCTGCTGCTTTTGCAGTTTGATTTGCTGCTGCTGTTGCTGCAGCTGCTGCTGCTGCGACTTTAGCTGCTGCTGCTCCTCCTCTGACTGCAGCATGCGTTCTTGCAGTTGTGCCTGAAGCTGCTGCAGCAGCTGCTGCTGCTGCTGGATTTGCTTTTGCTGCTGCTGTACCTTGTGTTGTTGCTGCTGGAGTTGCTGCTGGAGTTGCTGCTGCAGCTGCTGTGCTTCCCTTTGCTGCTCCTCAGTCAGCAGCTCTGTCTGCTTCTGCTGCTCTGTTTGCTGTTTCTGCAGCTCCTCCTGCTGCTGCAGCCGCTGAAGCAGCAGCGCTTCCTGCTGCTGATGCTCTTCTAGCAGAGTGGTTTGCTGCTCTGCCAACGTCTGCTGCTGCTGCAGTTGAGCAGCGAGCTTCTGCTGCTGCTCTTGCTGCTCTGCTGCAGCAGCAGCGCGGCTTGCAAGTGCAGCAGAAGCCTCGTCCAGCTGCTGCTGCAGCTGTTTGTTTTCTCTCTGCAGCAGCAGCAGCTGCTGCTGCTCTTTGCTGCTGCGCTCCCGCGTCTCGGATAGAGACTTGGTGAGGTGCTCTTGCTGCTGCAGCATTTGCTGTATTTGCTCCTGCTGCTGCTGCAGTTGGTCCTGTGCCTCCTGCTGCTGCTGCTGCAGCTGCTGCTCGTGTTGTTGCTGCTGCTGCTGCGCGTTGCGCTCATAGGTTTGTTCTTGTTCTTGTTGTTGCTGCTGCTGCTGCTGCAGGCGTTGGCGGAGCTGATCAGCGACCCGCTGCTGCTGCTGCAGTTGCTCGTTTGCTGCTGCTGCTGCACGCAGCGCAGCATCTAGCCGCATGCGCAGCTCTACCATCTCCTGCTGCAGCTCTAAGTGCTGCCTTTCTGCTTCAGACGACAGCAGGTGAAGTTTTTGCTCTGTCTCTTGTAGTTGTGCTGCTAAGTCGTTGCTTTTTGCTTCGGATTGCTGCAGCTCCTGCTGCAGCTGCTGCTGCTGCTGCTGCAGCTCTGCTGCCTCCTGCAGCAGCTCCTGCTCACGGGCCTGCTGTCGCTGCTCCCGCGCTGCTGCGTGCTGCTGCTGCTGTTGCAGCAACTGCTGCTGCTGCTGCTGCAGCCTTGCGACCTCCTGCTGCAGCGCAGCGCGGCTTTCTGCTTCAGCTTGCTGCGCTTGCTGCAGCGACTGCTGCAGCAGCTGCTGCTGCTCTTCGTGGCGCTTCTGCATCTCCTCTCCCTCAGCAGCAGCTTGCTGCTGCAGCTGCTGCAACTGCTGCAGCACTTCCTCTTGCTGCTGCTGCTGCCGTTGCTGCAACTGCTGCTGCTGCTGCAGCTGCTGTCTAAGACTAGCAGCCTCAGCGGACAACTCAGCTTTGAGGTCGCCTGCTGCTGCGTGCTGCTGCTGCAGCTCTTCCAATCTGCTGCGCTCCTGCTGCAGCAGCAGCTGCAGTTGCTGGTTCTCAAGCTGAGCTGCTGCGATTTGGTGCTGCAGCTGCTGATTTTGCTGCTGCTCTGCTCGCAGCTGCTCCGCCTTGCGCTGCAGCTGCTGTGTTGCTGCGCTTCGTTCACTGTCTACTTGCTGCTGCAGCTGCTGCTGCAGCTGCTGCAGCTGCTTCTCCGTTGCTATCAGCTTCTCACCAATCTCTGCTGCTTCTGCCTGGCTGCTGCGCAGCTCTAATTTGACTGCTTTGAGTTCCATCTCGTGCGTTTGCTGCTGCTGCCGCTGCTGCTGCTGCTGCTGCTGCGCGCTGCTGCTGCTGCGCTTCTGTCTAGCTTCCAGCTGCTGCTGCAGCAGCTGCAGCTCCTCTTCTGCTTTCCCTGCTCTGCGTACAGCACTCACAAAGTCGCGCGACTGGCGATCATAAAGCTGCTGCAGCAGCTGCTGCTGCTGCTGCGCTGCAGCAAATTCTTCTTGCAGCTGCTGGTAAAGCTGCTGCACGTGCTGCAGCTGCTTCTCTACAGAGCGCTGCCGCCTTTGCTGCTGCTGCTGCTCCTCCTCCTCGTCCTGCTCCCTGTCAGCGCCATCTTGCTGCTCCTCTTGCTGCTGCTGCTCCTGCTCCTGCTGTTGCTGCTGCTGTTCTTCTGTTGCCCGCGGTGCTGCAGCTGTATCCTGTTCTTGCTCCTTTTGCTGCTGCTGCTGCTGCTGCGGCTCTGCTGCTGCTGAGTGTTGCTGCAGCAGTGACACCGCAGCACGCTGCTCCATCGTCTCAGCTAACGACTGAAGGCTCGCGAGCTCGCTAGCGGATTGCTGCAGCTGCTGCTGCAGCAGCTGCTGCTGCTGCAGCAAGGCAGTGTGCTGCTGCTGGAGCTCCTCGAGCTCATCACACTGCCGCTGGTGTTGCTGCAGCAGGCTGCTGTGCTGCTGCTGCAAGGCCTCGAACTCCGTCGTTTGCTGCTGCAGCTGCTCCCTCAGTTGCATGCAGATGTCTTCCAGCTGCCGTGCTGCAGCGCGAGCTTCTCTAGCATCAAGCTGCTGCTGCTGAAGTCGCTGCTCCAGCAACTCGCTGCTTCTTTGCTGCTCCTCAAGGGCATGGCGCAGCTCTGCTGCTTGCTGCTGCAGCAGCTGCTGCTGCTCCTGCTGCTGCTGCAGCAGTTCATCCTTATCTGCTAACGACACACGAAGGCCCTGTGCTTCTTGCTGGTGCTCTTGCTGCTGCTGCAGCTGCCTCTTTGCTGCTGATGCAGTGCGCTCCCTCTCCTGCTGCAGCTGCTGCAGCAGCCGCTGCTGCTGCTCTTCATTCTGCTTCATACGCCTCTTGATGTCTTCTTCTCTTTCTTGTTGCTGCGTGTGAAGCTCGTCTATGAGCTGCTGCTGCTGCTGCAGCTGCTGCTGCTGCTGCTGCAGCTGCAGCTGCTGCAGGTCCATCACCTGGCGCATGCGGCTGAACTGAGCGTTTGCTGCTGCTGCTTCTGCTGCTACTCCTTGCTGCTGCAGCTGCTGCTGCAGCTGCTCCAGCTCTTGCCTTTGGGTTGTTGTGAGTCTCTCTGTCAGCGTTGCAAGCTCTTGCTGCATCTGCTGTACCTCATGCTGCAGCTGCTGCTCGCCGTCTGCTGCTGCTGCTGCGTTTTCCTCCGCGTCTCTCAGCTGTATAGACAGCTCTTCACATCTCCCTCTAAGAGCCTCTGCTTCTGCTGCTGCTGCTGCTGCTTCTCGCTGCTGTGTAGCAGCACGCTGCAGCAGCGCAGCCTTCTCTTCTGCTGCTACCTGCAGCTGCTGCTGCTGCTCCTCTGCCTTGTGCAGCAGCAGCTCCTGTGCTGCGCCGCTGGCCTCCAGTTGCTGCTGCAGCGACCGAACATCCCCTTGCAGCTGCACGTTTTGCTGCTGCAGCTGCTGCAGCAAACCTTCTCGCCCTGAAAGAGCTCCCGCCTGCGGCTCCTGCTGCTGCTGCGGCTGCGGCTGCTGCT